GGCCCAGGAACAGGAAGGGGTAGATGGTCTCCATGTCATTCCGGTGGGCTCTGGGAAGGCCAGGAAGTGCAGTCAGCCAAGTGTCAGCTTTGAGAATGTCATGGGAGCTGGGGCCCTCGGCCCTGAAAGGCCCTGCACCCCTGGGGAGAATCTTAGAGGCGCCAGGCTCAAATCCACTCATGGCCAGAACAAGAGGCACCTCGGAGGTGGGAGGGACAGTGACTCCAAGCTGGCACCTGCCAGCGGCTGTGGAAGCAAAACCCCACTAATAGGCCAGGAGCCATGGGTTGCTGATTGGGGGTTCCTTACCAAGCCATAAGGCTCACTAGGACCCGATCCCTGCCAGTCTCCCCAGTTTTCCCCTCTGGACTTGGACCCCAGGTGGGAAAAGTGGGGTTCCGAGGGGTTGAGTGAGACCTGGGAGTAGCTAGGTCTGACTCAAGTCCATACTCTTTATGAAAGTCGCCCTCCTTCTAAATGCAGGTTCCTGGGCCCTGGTGGACGGGATGAGCTAGAGCCTAGAGCCTGCATCTGAAATCCACACCCGTCTCTTATTCTGTCCCATGGATGATAACAAGAACAGCTTCCACTCACTGGAGCCAACCAATTGCCAGACCCCGGCGAAGCTTTCCGTTTCGTCCGTGCTATCCTGCTGCTTCTTTTTGTTTGCTGAAAATAATCAAGTATGTGAGTATGTGTGGTAGGGGGCGGGAAGGCCTGTGTGTAGCCCTGCCATAAATAAATGACCAAGAAAGAAAACTCAACCACTTTGACTAAGAGTCAGTTCACATTTTCCATGACTCCTGCTAATGGGCGGCTTCCTTTAAGGGGCGGGGAGGTCGAGTCCCATAAATTAGAGACTGAGCAAGTGACCGAAGACATAGACAGCATGTTGGATGCTCACATAAACAGGAACCCAGTGCCCGGGCCATGACCTCCCCCAAGGATAGGCCACATGTGTGAGGCTCAGGGACTCTGCTGGAACCAAAGCCCCTTCTCCAGGCCTTCCAGCTGGAATGTGTGTCACCAGTGCCGGGCCAATGGGCCAGGCCAATGGGCCGGGCCCAGCCCAGCATCCCCTTTGGTAATCTACTCCAGAGTCCTCTCCTCTTCCCTCCCATTGCAAGAAGAGCCTTAGGCAAGAGCTATGGTATGTGGCCTGACAGAAAGGAATTGGCCCGGGCAGGGCAGGGAGGGGGCCTGGAGCAACCCAATGCTGCAGGAGCCTCTGCAGGGTGGGTGTGGTCAGGGAAAGGAGAAGTTTGCACTGCAGCCTGAATGATGACCGGCTGTCAGTGCAGAGGAAGAACCTTCCATGGAGAGTCTGGCATATGCAAAGGCCCGGAGGTGGGAATGAACATAGTGTATTCAAGGCATAGAAAAGTGAACTGCGAGGGTGGAGCATGGAGCAAAGGAGGGAGTGAGGCAGGATAAGAATGGGGAGAGGGGCCCGCGAAGCAGGAGAGAGTCTGGAATTTGGTCGAAGTGTACAAAAGCTCCCGTAAACCCAGCAGGGCCTGGACCTTTTTGGGTTCAAACTCAGGACCTGGCAATTGTGTCTCTTGTCCCTATATCCTCAAGCCCATACGAGCCTTCTTTCTACTTTTCTCCTAAATCTCGAACTTGGAGCCAGACACAGGGAAAGTAAGCCTCCAGCCGAGGGACAGACTGCTGGCTCCCAGGCCAGAGAGAGGCGGGCCCTGGCCCGATCCTGTCCACAGGGAAGGGGTGGGGGCGTAGGACTGGGGCCACTCCAATTCCCCAGTCAAGCAGGGCCCTCCCTTTACTTGTGAGTGATAGGGAGGAGGCGGCTAATGTGCCTCTGAAGTTGCCCCATCCTGCGGGAATGGCCTTGGGACAACCTATTTTAGATTAAGTCAGTGTGTCCCAGAATGTGGTTGCCTACCACAGTGGCTCGCGAGACGATGCCACCTGGCTGAGTGTTTCTGTCATGTGTGTTCTGTGCCGTTGAGTCAGCTCAAACTCCTGGTGACCCTATGGATGAGTCATGTCCACAATGTTCCGTCCTCAACAGCCCTGCCCAGCTCCTGGAGGCCTCGCCTATGGCTCTTCCTAGGAGACCGTCTCATATTTGGCCTTCTGGCTGCCAGCATTATGATTTTTACCAAAGAGCCCTGCCTTCACCTGACGTGCCTGAAGGACAGCTTCTCTTCTGTGATTTTTTGCCGCCCACAATGTTGGAGGCTTCCTTGGCTCTAGGAGGTGCACGCTTTAAGGAAAGGTATCTGAATGAAGGGGTTTCATAGACTAGTTGTGCCTTTCCTGACACTTTCACATAAGTACATAATTTTTGTCATAGTTATACATTTTTACCCAAAAGCTTCAGATACTTTTTACCCATTCATGCAGATACTTTTCCTTAAAGTGTATATTTATATTTTAAGAGTGAGTTGTTTTTTTTAGAAAGCAGTTAAGAGAATCGTTGGCCAAACCCCAAAGAGCAGGTGAGGAAGAGAAGTTGGTGAAACACGGGGCGGGAAGGAGGGGCGGGGGCGAGATGTGCCAGTCGGGGCTGAGAGGCGTTGGGGGCGGGGGCGGCCTTTGCAGGAAACCACCTAGTGGGTGCTGAGGCCATCTCCCAGTGAGTGAGGAGAGGCGGCTGGGAGCTCAGAAAAGCCCCAGAGCTCTGACCCTCGGCCCCTGGGGCGGGCCCGGCTCTTCTCTCCCCCCTCTGGCGCGTCTCAAACCACAGTGGGGGCCCCCACGAAGCTGCAAGTGGTGCCAAGGAGAGGGAGACATGGGGAAATGAGGGATGATGCAAGAAAACGTCCTCTCCACCCCAGGATCTGCATTGAGAGACACGGATGGAGTCACGTACCAGAGAGATGCTTGGGTAAAACATGTCATTCCAATAACCGCCGCTTTTTAAAGGTGAAAGTCATGCAAAGCAAATTCCCGCTAGACCGAACTTGCACGGGCTCCTGCAGCCGCGGGCCCGCCCCCTCCCCCGCAGCAGACATTGCAACACCAGCTGCATTTTATTTACAGTATCGGGTTATGGGCAGGGGAGAGGAGGCCCTAGTTACCCCCCAGATATCCTGGGCAGGGACAAAACGGACCTCTCCTCTTCCCTCGGCTCTGCTCTCCACCCACATTGGCGATTTCCTTGAGTTCAAGTTCAATACAACGGAAAAGGCTGCTTAGTTTTCAAGGCAGGTACAAAACAGAGTCGAATCGCCTTCGCACAGAGGGAAAGCGTCTAGGAGCAGAGCCCGCCGGGGCATAGAACGCTGCCCGCTGGTGAGTGGGTGCACCCCAAATTAGCCTTTGTCGTCATCGTCACCATCATCACCAGCCCAATCTGGGACACGCTTGTTAAAGCTAATTTCACCCTCTCGGTTTTGCCAGACTCGCGACCGCCCTCAGACGCCTCGGCCAAATTAATAAAAGAATCTTTTATGGAGCGGTGGGAGGGGCTTGCTAGGCTAGGAGCTGCTTATGCGGTTCCGCCTCGGTGCTAATTAGTTCCCTGGCCTCCGGTAAGTCTCCCTCCCTCTCTGGGCCTCCTTGTTACCTTCTCCCAAAAGGAACGTGTTGGACGTCTAAGGGACTTCGGGGGCTGAGATCTGGGGACCCAATTTCCTGACAAACCAGTCCACTCAGATTAAGTCTGCACACCTCCAAGTCGTCAGAAACAGTCCAAAGCTTGGGCAAGGGCTTGTCTTCTTTCTCTGGGACCAGATACGCTCTCTCTGCAGTTCCATATGCACAGACTCAGAATTTGGCCAAGATACACGTAGCCAGGAGATGGGTAGGCATCATGAAAAGCAGGTGGGTTTCTTCGTTTTCCTTGAAACCTGGCTCTTGACTACTAGCAGAGCCGGGCTCCCGGTCTGGCTCCAGCATGTGCTAATCTGCAAGGCAGATTTATCATCCAGAAACTGAGACCTGAGGGCCTTCCTGTTTGTGCGGAAGGGTGATGCTGACCGCGCTGCAGACTCTGGTCTAATATTTAACTGACATTTGCTTCCCGGGCATCTCCCTCTGGAACCAGGTTGCAGCCAGTTCTCTGGTGGCGGACCACAGCATGGGATTCTGAGGTCTGCACCCTCAAGCTTCCGAGTTATGTGAAGTCAGGAGGAGGAGGAGCCCAGGGGACCAGGAACCCCCAGGTCTGGCTTGGTCAGTCCCCAATAAATATCGATACATGGTAGGTCCCCAATAAATACTCACCAAATGACTATAAAACATTATCAGATAAGAGGTGCTCAAAAAAACTACTGAATTTCAACCATTTGAACATCAGTACTCTTTAGATGGTGGCTCATCATGATCAGAAAAGAAAATTATGATGGGTGGGTGGACATGTCCTTTGCTGGCATGATAGGTAAGCTTAGCTACACGGGACCACAGAACCCTGGGAGAAGCCAAACACATCCTCTTGGTGGCTGTGGTGAGCTGGCTCAGGCTCTCCAGGCATGGCAGCCTGCTTCTCAACTACCCATGTCCTTGTCCACTGCCCAGGGAATGCAGCCACCCAGGGGTGAGGGTGGGACAGGGGTCACCAGTATAGATTTGTGTATGGGTAAGGGTTTTGTTCAATAAAGCAAACTAGTGTTCAGCACACAGTAGGTGCTCACGAAATGACGAATGGGTGGATGGATAGAGGGCTGGACCTCAGACGAAGGACTACATACTGTAGTTATATTAGAAAAATTGAAATAGCAAAGAATTTCACCTCCTGCATTATACATTTCTGTAATTTTTAAAAGCCACACATATAGATATTATTTTCAGTGGCCAAGAAAACCATAAGAAAATAAGAAAGGCTTTCTTTTAATGAAATAGTCTTTACTGCAGAGTCCCGCCCATTTCTCTCTATGGTGCTCGGGAATGTGCTAAGGACTACGGGAAGGTTTGTCTCGGGTCTCACTCCTGTCCAGCTGCCCGCTTCTCCATCGAGCTTGGCTGACGACCCCCTCCCCCTGGGGGGGGCCACCTCCTCAGTCTCCACCCACTGGCGTGAAAGCCTCGAAACTGCCCAGAAGCCCCAGAAGCCCAACGTGGAGACTGCCCGACGCGAAATTAACATTCAGTCTCAGATGGATTTGGCACAGCCATTTTGTAAGAATCACTTTCAAGGAGTATTGACAGACATGGAAAATGCTCATGAAATAATGTCAACCGGAAAAAAAATCAGAACCCCAAATCGGGTGTGCAACGAACGCGTGCCTCACTTTACGAAAAATATTTAGACTTAGAGGACGAAGAGGAGACAGAGGAAAACGATTAGACTTGTGAGCGGGTTTTGTTCTTCTATGTATTGTCGACATCACTCAGAATGCGATGTTCCGATTTTTATACGAAGAAAAGTTGCGTTTGATGGACCGGGGGATGCTAAGTATGAGAAGACGTTCAACTTTGCTCAGAATAAAAGAAATGTGACATAAAACCAAAATGTGACGTAACTTTGTGATAAGACATATAACTATCTTAGCGGCGATGCATCCATCCAGGAGTGGATGTGCCGAGGGGCAGGGCAGGGCCGGAGAAGCACCGCACACGCCAGTGCTGCGTGTGGGTTTGTGCTGTTTGACGATATTTCTTACCACGTGGTGCCTCCTGCGGTTTTGAGCACACATACACGTGGAGGCAAATGAAAAGGGTTTGGATGCACTCTGTTCACCATAG